ACAACACACGAGTGTGTTCTCTTATACTGGGAATAAGTTATTTTCAGCTTGTCATGAATATACTCTAGTTACACTCTTTTTAGAATAAAACAGTAACTACTAGACAATGAGCCAAAGGGGAAGTCAAGTAGAAGGAGATCTTCACAAGATCTTGTCTCTCTTCCTTGCTGTTTCTATCTACATTGCATTCAATGCCTTTTTTTTCTATGCAGACAACTCTGGCTCTCATGCTGTTCTCCATTATATTCCTATGGAAAAAAGCATCATTAAAAGTTCTAGCTCAAGTGAAACCAAGTGCACTGTGGAGCCTCTTTCTGATCCCTCTGTTAGCTCCATGTTCTCTTTAATTACCTTGGCATTTTTTACCTAACTGGATACCAATGCATGTGATACCCTCTCAGCTGTGTATGCAACATACTCATTGGCCACAATGCCAGCGACATTTATTCTCCCAACCTCTACAAGTACCTGATGAGGATGTGCAGCATTCAAGCCACCAGCAAAGACTACTGGATACCCCATGTCAGCTGATCCAACTCCCAGGGCAGCAGGCTGATAGGAAAGACGAGAGCTGGAAAGCTAAGAAATGAGACAAAAAACCAAAAAGGGGAAAAGGAAGAGGAGAGAGGAAGGGAGGGGGGGAAGTCCCACAGTCTGAATTGTTATCGGAATCACTGAATGACGAACAGGAGAAATCTGAGCCACAAGGACATAATTATAGGGTGACAAGGTGGCTTGAACACTTTTCACTAGATACCAACTGCTGAGCTTTGATTTTAATAGTCCACCTTGTAACAAAAGGAAACAAAATAGGCTTGGCCTTGTGATATGACCAGTTTCTAGTAGATGGCAAGCAGCCTTGAAGAGGATGACTGACCACAAAGGAGCATAGGGAAGGCCTGGCCTACATTACAGTACCTACACTGCATGGTGGAGAAGGGACTAAGGCAGCCACTTATTTATTCAGATTTTTCAAATAATTTCCTTTTGTGCACTGAGCAGGTAAGCAGCTCACTGTGAAATTTGTAGAAGGAATGGAGAACACCCCCTCCAAGGGAAGCCAACTACTGCTGGACACAGAATAAGATGTCCAAGTTGTTACCTAAAGAGAGAATTGGAGCTAAGTAACTGGAGATTTCTTCCCAAAATCAGCTCTCAGAGGGATGAACCTACCTCAAGCCACTTCACCTTCCTCTCTCCCCCCCTCCCTTTATGCAGAAGCACAAGTAGTGGAATCAATGGGACTACCCATTTGTTTTTCTGATGTCAAAAAGAGCTCTTTATTAGAACCTCTGTACCACATGACTCTTCCAAGACAATCTTGGGGGGGGGGGGCGGTGGTTCAGACCAGGTCTGGACTCTTAAATGATCACTCTCACATACACATCTAGTTCTGTCCTTTCTGGAGACTGGTTAAGATGGACAAGGTGGTCTCTTTCCACAGAAGGTTGGATGCATATGTAAAATGCCTCTTCCAGCTTCCCAGGGGATGTACAACCAGGCGCCTCCCTGAAACTCTTATGTTGCTATGAGTACCATCCTGTGCTATTCTCCCTGGTGGAGACCTACAATCCCCAGAGAACAGTACAGGCTGCTCCCCACTGAAATGATCTGACAGTTCCTCAACTTAAAAAGACCCTCCCCACCCCACACCAGCACACCCGAATATCTCTATAATCTCAGCTACTACAAATTGACACACAGGCACTATCATCTAGAAATCTAGACATTTTAAGAGTTAAAAAGTAGCTTTATGTTGTTCATCTCCCTGAGGTCTCTTCCTAATTTTGTAGTTTTATAATAAAATGTTCCTGTTTTATCATCTCTCTCCCACACATGTTGCTGTTTGAAAGACTCACACAAACGAGAGAAACCTGACTTCACACAGTATGCAGAAAGTAAACAAAAATAGAGAGCAGAAGTGGCTTTCTTCCTAGTCCTCATGTGTTAGTTGTAACAAACAAGAACCAAAAAAAATACAAGTAGGACTTTAAGTTATGTGACTGGATTTTAACACTTCAGCAAGAGCAAACTTATCAGACATGCAGGTCCAAGGGAGCTAACAGCTCCTCATGTAAGAGCACTTAAATACCATCTCCTGATGTTCAAGACCAGATCCTAGTTGACCTATTAGATGCTTAGGTGGATTTAGGCATCTAAATGCAATCCTATTCATCTTGCTTGAGTCTCTGAAAAAACATTAATGCAATAGTGGGTAACGTAGTTCTCCTTCTCCTTGCTGCTTTCTGAGACTTAGCCTTAAGAGTAAGATAAGTGCATGTTAGAAAAATAGATAACAGTTTTTCAGAGATTCTAACAGGAAGAGGACAACACTTAAGCACCTAATAGGTGGAAAAGTACCTGGCTCCAGGAGTCTCTGGATGAGATTTATTGAAACTAGAGGTGAAAACACCTTATTCAGCAGGGCTAGAATTTCCTTTGACATGCGTGTACTGAAATACATCAAAGGATGCTCTGAAGGTACAACATGCAATTTATTTTTACCTTTTGCCTTTACTTTTCTCTTCCAGTTACCTTTCTCCTGACAAAGGTAAGCTATACAGAGCCTATCAAGAGTAGTCCTTGTTCTGCTAGATGGCCTCCAGTGTCACAGTGAGTGTGCTAACCCTCTCACCCCTGTAGAAGTGGAGAACACTGAAGCTTTCCCAAGACCATAGCCAGCTTGACAGAGCTGTATCTGAAGATTTAATTTGCTGCAATCAAGACCCTTAAGAAAGCTTGGCAATAGCTATTCCCCTTCCCCTTCAATTGGTTCAGTGGTTGCTTTTTGTAGGGCTGCTGCTCAGTACTAGGGTTGGAAGTGTTGCATACAATTTTTTGTTTAATGGAAAGAATACTAAAACAGTCTTTTGAAGGAAAAATAGGTATAAAGAATCAGATTTTTCAAACCAATCTAAGTAGAAAGAGAGAGCTTATTCCATTTTGGGTTGACCAGCCTTTTTAGGAAATGGCAAACAGATTTCTCTTTCTCAATACGTATTCTGAAGAGTCAAACTTGCAGCTTACTGTGTGTTAAAGTTCTATCAGGCCATATAATAATTTTTCTGTTGTGAACTCACTTGATGTGAAAAGCCCAGTCCCATCATAGGGACCTTCAAGGTGTCCGTCACCACAGGAAGAGGGGTCTGAAAATGTGCCTGAGTGACAGTAAAAACACACTGTGCACAGACACAGACATACAGAGGAAACAAGAAAGGAAGAAAGAGAAAAGGACTTGAGAGAAGAACTGAAAAGAGTTGGATGAACTGAACACTCATGACAAAAGTCTACGGCTAGAGTAGTCAAAGCTTAATGTATGGCAAACTTCTCAGTATTGGCAAATCCATTCTGTTTGTAAAGCATTTTCCCAGTATTTTCCAATGTCCCACAAGTAACCTCTCCCAATGCAACTAACACTAGAGAGTGTTACCCAAGATAACTCATGATAAAACAACTAGCAAAGGCTCTGCTTCACAGCTTATTAGTATTCCTACCGGCCAGTTAACAAAGGCAGGCTGTCAGAAAAAGTCAAGACTCAATTTTATCCAAGCACATACCAGTCATCTATGTTGTGACTGTCTCCCATTTATGTTACTGGTTTTCCAGGATAATTAGTGCTTTAGGGAGCACATCTGTGCAGGACTGTGCAGCCCCCCTACCAGAGCCCTCTGGACTCTACCATGATCTAATTACACTTCACACAAAATTGAGCAATATGAGTAGTTGCTTGAATTAAGACTTAGCACTTTAGCATTAAAAATCCTCTGTCTGATGTTAAAGGGCTGAGCCATCCATTGGGAGTCCCTGTGCCTCCTCCTTAGCAAGACAATTACACCAATCTCATTACCAAGTGCTACCCCTAGTCAGGTCTGTCTTCCTGAACCACAGCACGTTCTAAAGAAGGCACTACACGAGGTGAGCATGCTTTCCAGCAACTAGAAAGAGGGGAGATTGTTTATCCTTTCCCACCCCACCGATCCCTGGACAAACACAGGTGGGGCTAGACCCACAGTGAGTAGTTAGGCCTCACTTCCAAATCAATAGGAAATGGGATGTAAGAACAGCATATGTATGACAACTTCAATGTACCAAACTCAGGGTATGATCTGAGCCTTAAGTCAATTTATATAATTTAGCTAAGGGTAAAGAGTTTCTTTTCTCCCCTCCCCCAAACAACTGTGTTTGGCCAGGAGGGTAGCTTTATATTTAATCTTACTGTGAGGGTAAACTATGAACCATGGGGTTGTTATACTAGAAGTTAGTACTTTTCATGAATTGAGTCACTGATTACTTCAGAGAGCTTTACCTCAGTGACAAGAAAGCTTTGTGCCTTCTGGGTAAGTATCAGGTTGAATATATTTCATCAGCACTGTTGTTGTTATGTAAGTCTGGCTACAAGAAAAATCAGTGGCTATTTCCTCAGTATGTACAAGTTCATCATATTTTACTGGGCAGACACTGGGCTCACTCAGCCATAAGTATGCCTCCTGTACATCAAAGAACAAAATACTTTATTCTCTCAGACTTACCATGAGCACTGGTTGACTGGTTAGTTACTGCCAGGTGCCTGTCACCACAATACCAGTGAAGCTCAAGAGGTACCTCTGGAGAAGGGCTTGTTTCTAGACTTACCAGATTAAACCACTAATGGTTTAAAGTGGATCAATTTCCTTGAGGCAGTAATTGACCCCATGGCAAACTCATTCAAATCAGAACATTTTAAATATATTTTGCTCCCATGCAATCATGCACTCATGAGCACGTGCATGTGCATACACCCACACATGCATGCACAGATCTCTAAGCTGTCCTTAACTTGCTCAGGACTATTTGTTTGGTTTGACAATTAGCTTGACCATTCTTGACCTTTTATAGCTCTACAAAAACTAAACTCTAAGATACAGTTATACAAATCAGACACAGAAAACAGAAATGGAGAAGAGATATTGAAGTTTCCATTTTGCAAGGTTCAAAATGATTCCCTTCTGTATTTTTCTCTTTTGTTGTTCAAGACACAGGTAAAAGCAGGACAATTTTCTCCTCATTTATAAAACTGTTTAATTAGAAAATGCAGATGTCAATAAATGAAGTTGGGTGGGAACAGCAAAACCAGCATCTGTTCAGGGAGTTGGACTATCTGAACCATGAGGTCCTTCCAACCTTGCGATTCTGTGAAATGCTATCTAAATGTCATCAAAATGGAAATGTTCAATATCTACAACTTGCCATGAAAGCTTTAATTAGAGCCTTTTCATGGGGACAAAATACTTTGGGTGACAATGACCAACTCTAGACTGATTAGGTAATATCTAATTCACACCCTGAGACCTAACATGGAACTGTTTCTTATCAGGTACTCACTGCTGTTGCTAGTCTAATTTTAGATATCCCAGGTGATAGGATTTTTACTCCTTTCCTGCAATAATACTCAATAATGAGATAAAGGTTCTCCTGATACAAGCATTCCCCTCTAGTTGCAGCTTGTTACTTCTGTGTTATACTGCCTTGCCTCATCTTACTTCATTCCTTTTTTGTGATGTGCCTTTATTTGTAGTATACTTTCCTTCAATTCCTGCCTAGCCCGATTAACTCTTTAAATCTTTCTTCATAAATCATTACCTGCAGTCCCCTAGAGTCTTGTAGGAATTAGGAACTATTTTGTAGGAATTAGTAGGGGTGTGCAAAATGGACCATATTCATTTTGGATTCAGCCCTAATTGGGCACAATGATTCGATTCGTTGATTCGGATCACCGTCCTGATTCGATTCGGCCAAATCCGAATCTGAAGATTTGATGCTGATTCAAAGAATCAGCAATTTGGCCATATATGCAACTTTAAATGTTTTTTCTATATACCTTGAGGTACCAGGCGCAGCTCGTGAATGCTGCAATGCTGGGGAAGATGGAGCATCCCACAGGAGCATAGGGGGCCCCCCCCATGTGCTAGACGGTGAACCCAGAAGTGGACCAGAAGTACTTCTGAGCCACTGCCGAGCGTGCTGGGGGGCCCCCCCACACTGCCCAGCTCGGTGATCGGCCCCTGGGGGACCGAGGAGACACTAGTCACCAAGCCAGTGGGGTGTGGAGGGGCCTCCCAGTATGCTCCCCAGTGGACCCAAAAGTGGAGCAGAAGTGCTTCTGGTCCACTTCCAGGTCTGCTCCCAAATGCGCTGGGGACCCCCCTGCGATCCTGTGGGATGCTCCATCTGCCCCAGCATTGCAGCATTCACAAGTCGCCTGGTACCTTGAGGTATGTAGAAAAAAAAATTAAAGCTGTGTCTATGTCCGAATCGTTGAATCTTTCCAAATCTCTCCAAATCGATTCAGAGGGTTCCAATTCGATTCGGCGATTCAGCCACTGTATCGGACTGAATCTCCACTGAATTGAATCAGCGACCAAAGCTTCACACAGCCCTAGGAATTAGTAACTGTCTAGGTTTCACAAAGTGGGGAGCAATGTCTGTGCAGTGCATTTAATATTATAGTGCATTTTAATTATACAGATTGCACCTAGCCTACTGCTGTTAAATTGCCTGGCTGCTAATTCAAAAGACATGTACCAGGTTGCACTGAAGGGAATTGTGCCATATATCTTTGGGAGTGGAAGGAGCCCATTTTCTCTTACCTGGGATGGAGGGGAAGTGGAAAAAGAAGTGGTGCACACTTCCTGAGAGTCTTCCACTGATGGATATACTGCCGCATTGTCCTCAGCAGTTGTTCTACAGCAGTAAAGAGAGACATTTCACTATGGGAATGGTTCAGAAGACAAAGGAATACTAAGAGTATTGAGATATAGAAGTTGCAGGTGGACTGAGAGTATTTGGGTGGAGTTGAAAGGAGAATTCTGAAGGGGTTCTGACTCTTTCTTTGACAGGGCTGAGGATAACAGTTTAAGTTCTCCTGACTTTGGGATTTTCCAAATGTTTTCTTTAGAGAAGGAAGAGGTGCTTCCTCATTCTTTACCAAAAAGGTTTTGATACACTAAGCAGTACTACTGGCTGCAGCATTTGCAGAACCACTGCCAATCATATTAAACTGTGCCACTGCACATAATTTAACCATGATTGCAAGAATCAAGAGAGGTGGCAAATTCCATGCATGGGTTCTATACCAGGTGTCCTGTAAAGACAACTGCTATGCTGCTACTTCCAATAACATAATCAGAAAATTCCACCATTGCCACAAAAAAGTTGCATCTTGATCACCACATGAACCAGTACTACAGCAAGAAGTTTTGACAACATGAATCCTCTGGGACTAGCTGCACTCAACCTTTTAACTCTCATGGGGAAAATGCTCCTCATATGCTCAACTATTAATAAGACTGACCCTGATCCTGCAGTCCTCCTCCCCCTTCCAATCATCAGGAGTTAGAGAAGGCTCTGTATTGCACTTAGGCATAGTGATGCCTTCACCTATAGCCTGTGACTGCACTTAGTGTTTCCTCACCTGTAATTGCAGGGGTGCATGGGTGAAGAGCTGGGGTAGGGACGGTCCACAAAGTGATCAATGATAATCCCCATGATAGGTGGGGTCCTCTCAAACTGCCTGCAATGCAACAAGCAAATGGTGTTATTGATAAGGCTGGCTTTCCCTTTTTACTGCATTCCTACTGGTGGTACCCAGTATCTGTCAATGGGGACCCAGAGCACCAAGCTTGAACCAGTGATTTGACATTCTGTAGTCTGGTTTAGGTTGACCCAGATACTCCCCGTCTACAAGACAATGGATCCAGGAGGATAGTCAGTGTGGGGGACCATCTAAGCTAGCCTGAAAAAAACTAGGGGAAAGTGCAAGAAGCTCAGGGAATGAAGGGGTTTAACGGTATTTAATAAGCTGCTTTTGGGGGGCTGACATTTCCTTACCGTGTTGACATGAAGGCCAGGTTGATTCTGTAGGCACAAGACAAAGTGATGGTGCCCACTGGAGTACCCACTGTCCCAACACGGACTGTTTGGAAACCTAAAGGGGTAGAAGAACGGTTAACAATTTCAGTAGTTTTCTGTAGTGGGCACAAAGGTTAATTACTTCTATATCTTACTTCCTTATCCCTGGATTGCATTTTCCTATATTTGGTTTCACTAACCCTTCCATTCTGAACTCTGAAGACCCACAAAACACAACAGCAGCAATATGTTGTATAACATCTGTCTTGCTGTTAGCCTGACCTGTGGTGGCCCCTGTATACATCTGATGGTACCTTTCAGTCTTGAATAGCATTGCAGTCTGTTAAGCTGGCTCTGGACATTAAGTGGCACCTGAATTTTGGTATTCAAGTCCTGAACCAACATAACAGAACTTTGCCAAGGTAATAGAACTATCATTTTGTAATAAGACCTTCTACAAATGAAATCTATACAAAAAGTGCTCCTGAAAACATGTACCTAGTTTTCCTGTAGGACTGAAAAATATGAACAAGACAGTTGTTGATATGGAAGGGGGCTCCCAGCTAGTTTATATATAGTACCCAACCGTACCTTCTCCCAAGCCGCTCAGCTGCACTTCCCCGAAGTATATCCTACAGGAGAGAGAAACAGCATGCATCACACCCAATCTATCGAGGGACTTGAAACTAAATAAATCTATATTTCTTATTTAAGCCACAAAGGATGAATGGGTCAAAGCTACCTTTCCCTTTAAGAAAGGCATACATCGCAAGTGGCAAGTTATGATCGGACTGGCCAGAAGACTCACCTCCAAAGAGTTTTCAAACTAAATGGTCTATTTAGCTCCTTAAGAAAGACACATGACATGTGAGATAAAGAAGAGACAATAGCAACAGCAGTTGTAATCAGGGAGAGGAGCTTGGATAGAATGTTTTAAAGTCCTAACTGCCATCTTAGCGATAAGTCCACACATCAGTGCAAAAGGGAAATTAAGAAATGAGTTGGGTGTCCAGAAAGCAATAGCAGCCTATTCCAAGTCCTAGAACTGGTACTTGTCTTTCTAGAGAAAGGCACTAACTTAATGCTGTTAAAACAGTCATTTATTACCTGCAGCATGGGCAAGAATGGGAATGTTGTTAAACCTCATGCCTCTGTGCCAAACATGACAGTGAACTTGGGACTTTGCAGTAGCTTTATATCATCATCCTGGTTCTTTGCACAAATAGACTTCCTGATGCCAAAGGTAAAAGTGTTAGGGCTGGCAACCATTCAACCTCAAGCTCTGAGCTCACTAGACCTCACAAGCTAAATAGGATGGTGCTCAATTATTAGGATAGGACACTACGAGAAAACCCTATGAGTTGCAGGAAGTAGCGCTGAAGATTCATAGTGTCCCTCCCCTGGGACTATATTCTTAACCTATATGCAAGCGAAAGTATTCATGCACTTGCATCCAATTCATACACACACTTATTGTTAATTTACATATTTTTGTTAACTCTGCCAAATGACCAATAATGCATCTAACTGTTCAGTTGCACATACAGTAATCATCATTGTGTTCACAAGTCAGGCATGCATGGACATGCTTATTTAAAACCAGATCCCCGGTCTCTCAGGGAAGGGTTAGCAATGCATGTAACAGTGCTGTCTTACAAATGAACTATAAACTGAAGTCATAACTGTTTCAGATAACTAGTAATTTATTAGAACTTTTTACTAGGACTGCAGGTGTTATGACCAAATTCCAAGCGGGTAGTTGTACTGCCTGTGCCTGAAGTTTCCCTACTGGTTTAGTTCCAAAAATGAAATTTTAAGAGTCCAGATTACCTGTACAGTATTACATATTCATGGCCCTGTTTCCTGGAGAGTCTGTAGGCTGGAGTTACCCGGGTTATAGCAAGCAAAGACTTCAGAAGTAGAGACAGTCTGTTGTACACAGTGTAAGAAACTTTGATTTCTTTGTCACACCTGGAGAGTATACAGATGCAGTTAGTTTATTCTTCCTAGGCAAAGAGTGCAAGCGTACACTGAAAGGGGTCAGGCCAGTAGCCTGACACTTACTTAACAGTGACAGGAGCATAAATACATTTTCATGATGGCAAACCTGGCTGGGCCAGCAAAGAGTCTTGCTCCAGTCCAGTGTACACAGTAAGAAGTTATTCTTTGGCCTTCTGCAGCAGTGGATTCTGTAGGAGGCCAAAGAATCTTGCACTGGAAAGGATTGACTTCAGGAAGATTCTTAACACTTGTAGCTGCTGGTAACTGAATCTCGTATGTAACGGCATATATGGATTGTAAGACAGGATCACAAATAAATTAATTTCTAGGTCCTTTTCCCCAACACAACTCAACATTTGCATTGTGTACAGGAGAAGTGTTTGCCTCTGAAGTACAAAGGGAGATATACCTGACTTGAAAGACCACTAGTCTAACAAGATCAGGCAATTCTTACCTTTCAGTTTCAGAGAGGCTGGGAGAAACAATGGAAAATACAAGTCAGTGGCATTCTCCCCATCTGTTCAACTGATGGAAAGCACAAAAGCTGGACTGGATACCAGCTAATTCGACACCAAAGGATTAGCAAAGCCTCAGAATCAGTGTAGGGGACATAATTCCAGTACCTTAAAAGGCTTATTAGTTTTCTCTGCACTTTGTTGAACATTTCATCTTTCTGTTCTTTCTTCATAGTTTCCCACCCAGCTCTCTCCATACTGCTGCTGACTGTAAAGTACATGTCAGGATGCCAAACAGAATAGCAAACTGCAGCAAAGCCTTGCCAGCACCAGTTGCAGGCCAAGGGCCCCTTATGCAAGTCTATCTAGAATGCTGTCTGATCTGCAATTGGCAACACTTTGGAATGTTGTTGATCTCTATCCCTTAGTGCCTTCAACTGTAGGTCAGGTCCCCTGCTGGCAAAAAGATTTGCTTGTTTCATTTATTTTAAGGAGAAAAAAGAAAATATTCAGAATAAACTTACTTTTCATTCATTTCTAGACACCAGATTTCCAACTCCATGGAATCTCCCTGCATCAGACAAAGGATCAGTAATGCAATTCATTCAAAATAAGAAGACATCTTCACATCACATTAATAGTGAGCAATACCACATCTTTAAGACAGTGATTCTCAACCAGGGTTCTGAGAGAGTTTTAAAGATGCTGCAGGATGCCGTGCACTATTAGTACTATTCAGTGTGCAAACACCTACACATGATTCACAAGATAAAACTAGGGAACCCACAGTCTCAAAAACATGCCAACCTGTTGTGAACTTCCTGAGTTCTATGCAACAGAAGAATTACTCAGTGATTTTTTTTGTAGTAAAAAATGATTGAAAAACTACATGGTGGCATTTTCTGAGGGCTGCCTTGAATCTAACAAGGTTGAGAACCACTGTTCTTAGAGGAAGTATTTTTTGGCTCCCAAGTCTTTGTAAACAGATGGGTCACTATTTCCTCTTCATGTACATGGCTTAACAGAAGCTGGACTCAGCAGTCCTGCTGCAGGATAGAGACTACACCGTGTACCTCCCTACCTCAGGATAGCTTATTCACTCATGTTAGGAGCGAAGCCAATTTTGCAGTGCTCCTAGTCTTAAGTGTTTGGCTTCAGTGATTTGCAGTGAAAAATCTTTCTTTTTTCATATGTTCACAGGTTCACTGGCACACTAGTATACTGCAGGACTGGATACATTTTTTTTTACATAATCTTGGCCCAGATCCTACTCTGCCTGCTAAAGCCTTAGCAACTGCTCACCAAAACAAAAAACCCCCAAAAAGCCCTGCGAATCTTGCCTTTAGAGGCTGATTTTGTTTCTCCTTGAGGAGTGCAAAGCTCTCCTATTTTTTCTATAAGCAGCTTTATGTGCCTCTAGAGCCTGCTCTTATTCTGCCCTGGAAGGTGTAGACCTAAAATGCATAAACAGCACTGGGAGCATAAAAAGCCATGCAAGCAAGGGCTGGAACCCAGGATTCTCTCCATTCTAGCAGAAAGTCCTCATCACTGGGGTACAGAGTGAGGCTTTATTTTATATTTTTCTCTTTCTGGCCTCGTGACTCCTACTAACTCAGTGGCAGGATGGAGGATGCTCTCAGCCTTGCCTAGCTCATAGTCTGGTCATTGGACCACTTTCCTGAGGAATGGGAGATGTGGATTAAAACTAATATTTGGTAGAGTCTAGTATCCATGCCTCCCATTGCCTGGGCAAGTGGACTAGTGGAAAAGAGATGGGTGGACTTGTCTCCTTCCTCTGTTGAGCTGCATGCTTGATCTCAGCTACAGATGCTTGGTGTGGTTTTTCCTCTGTTTAATGCAGAAATTCTGTACTTTCCAGATGGAAATGGATCACAGAACTGTGGTGGGAATCAGACATCTAGGTAGCTGCTGTTTCACTTCTGAACATGTGTGGTAGCTCAAGACTAGCTGCCAAGGAATCATTCTAGGCAAGGGTTGCTCAACCTCCAGCCTGCAGGCCAAATGCAGCCTGCAAAGTCATCACATCTGGCCCGCTGGACATCCCATAGGTCTGGAAATTTGGTGGCAGGGGAGCGGTGGCCATTAATATGGTCACACTCCCTCCTGTCAAATTCCCAAACACCAAGCCCTGCACACCCAGTTGGAACCAGACTGAGCCCCCTTCCCCCTAAGGATCCAGGCTGCGGCTGGACCATGCTCCTCCCCGCTACCCGAGTCAGCCAGGAGGAGCCCCCTTCCCCACCTGCTTCCCCCACCCCCAGCAGGGCTGGGTCACAGCTCTTACCCATGCCCCTGCCCCCACCCCCTCCACGCTTGTGTGGCTGGGCTCAGACCAGGTTGCCCTCCACCTCCTCTGGGTGGCTGGATGGTGCCCACCACACCAGCCCAAGGGGCTGAACTGGAATCACCACGCAGCCCAGACAGACTAGGCACTGCCCATCCAGCCTGCCAGGGAAAAAGGTAGAGTACCATTGTTCTAGACCAGAACAGAGGCACATAATAAATCTATGTTTTACAGTTACTGAATGTTGGGGTGGGGTACAGCATAGACCTAATATCATATATAGCGACTTGGATGCCTAAAGGCTGCAATTCCCATGCAGACATCTTGAAAGTGGAATAGGTTCTGGGCCTAAAGCCTAGATTGGTGACTTATTCCTTAAGTGAGCAGGTGGGAATTCTATCTGACTCAGCATTTACCTCTGAGGTTTTAAGAGAGATCTCCACACACATTGACCGTCCAACAGCAGGTAGCTGTCCTGCCAAGGCTTTCTTTGCTTCATGAGTAACTTCTGGTATATCTTTGATTGCCAAGTTGAACTGCAAAAATGAAATGGCAGATTTTATTTTTCAGGTTCTTTTAGAAAACCAGTGGAGGCACATGCTGCAAAGAGATTTGTAACCCACTTCTCAACAGACTAGTCGGACCCACTGCAATGTTTGTAGAATGGACAAAATCCAAGATTGGTCCAGATTTTCATTTATTTATGCTCACTTGTGCCTGGAATCCTTTGTCTGTACAGTGGGACCAAGACAAAACACTCCTTTCTCCTCACATTCCCAAAGGCTTGTGGGTCATTATTCCCCTTTGAAGCTTAGCAATTAGATCAGTCTGAATCAGAATCACTGATTCAGGTTCTGAGTCAGTTTGACTGAAAAGCACTAATGAGATCATCCTCTAAAAAATGAAAATGTGACTGAGCATATGATAGGAGTTGCTGATGAGTATCATATACCTCTCCTTTATTTGGCCCAGTGTACATACTGGGCCTATCAGACTAATTTTCTCCGCAGTAAAGCATCACCATCTACATGTGCATGGTAATTAGGGCACAGCAGACTAATTTACTGCACTGCCAGACAGTCCCGTCAGATACACGTGGTACCCAGAAGCACAGTAAATTACTGTATTTAAAACACATGTGTAGACAGTGATGTTGGGATTAGTTTACTCTGGCTCAAATTGAGCCAGAGTATATTCAATCACATGAATTGTACGTGTAGACACACCCACTGTGATGCAAAGAAAATTAACATTATTTGACAGGATTGTTTTTACAGTGTATAGGAAAATATCCCCTGTATTCTCAAAAGAGATGACAGAGCTATGACAATCTCGTGTAGAGCATAACTTTACCCAGTCAGAGCCTGTTGGTGAAGAGGATGATCGAGTACAGATTTTCTCTCCAAGTCGGGCCTGGACAATCACTTGTACAGTCTGAAAGAGAAAGCAGAAGAAGTTCACAAATTTCTACCATTCTGGATCCTAGACCAGTTCAGGAGCAGCCGAAGAAAACTGAAAGAGGCTTACTGATGGAAAAGTTAAGCAGAGTTTATAACTCAACTGAGTGGCCTCTGCTAGTCTCCCTCATGTAATCACCTGAGGTGTTACAAGCAATAGTAGACAGGGCAGAGTGGTGCCTTATAAACTAATTCAAAGAGGGATAAGCTCTTGAAAAAAACAGCGCTAGCATCTCATGAAGCAACATGTTGCTTATGAAAGCCTATGCTTCTCTAAATTAGTCTACAAGATGCCACTCTGCCTTGCCTTCTGCCTGACATCAGATTAACGTGGCTAACTACCTCTTCTCTAAGCAATAGTACGTAAACATGTTTCAGACAGTTGTGTGATTTAAGCTGACCCTGTTTGCCAGACACATTTCATAATCCAGGGATGTAGCATTTGATTCAGTACCACCAAAGTCTATAGAACCTCAGCCTGAAGATGGAGATACACAAAGAGGTGATCAAGGTCTGGATCTATCCAGCAGTGCATTTATAGCACACTCATCATTGCACTATCTATCCATCCACTTAGCTAATCAGGATAGGAACTGTTTGTAATAAAGGGGCTTTGTTTTTAGTTATCAAAGTGTGTGTGATAAAAAGCATTCTAGTATTATAGGTTTGGATGCAACAGAAGAACTTAGCTGGATAGCAAGTCAGGACTGAACAAGAAATACTCATTAAATGTTACTGAAGTTAAGCTGTTTGTGTTATTTGAGGAAGGTAATATTTGTCCATCTCATATACAGAAAGTGGCATAGAATTAGGAGGGTCATGCAGTGGCTACAGCTGGGTTTTCATGTGGGACAGGCAGTTGGAAACAGTCCTTTTACTTATAATCATGTAAAAATAGAATCCTCCTTTTTCATTTACCTTCAGCTCTTTTCACTTTGATTAATAACAGACATACAAGCCTGTCAGCCTAGCCATAGGGAGTTGTTGTTTTTTTTCCCTTTACTACCAATGAAGGCAAATACAGACTGGAAGGTTGTTGGCCACATTCCAATAACAAGAAAAATGTTACCTTCAAAGCAAAAAATTTGATGAACTTGTCCAGGTCCTTCCTGTCTTGGGAGCTGAGATCAGTGTCCATTGCATACAGAAATCTAAAATGTAATACAGGCAGGGAGATAAAACTGTCACACAATTTTTTTACTTGGATTTCAAGATTTAAAGCCACAGCCTCAAAGCTTTGGGCAATGAAAGGCCAGCTTAAAAGAACTAAAAAACCCCCCCAACTCAACAAAGGACATGGTCTGCCTAACTTCTGACATCCAGAGGACTTGTGGGGGTTAAATTCACATGATTAATACATCTGGCCAATGCAAAGAGTACAAAGAGAGAAAGGATCCTAAAGGAAGATTAAAATTAGAACAGTTAAAAGTCCCCTGACTCTTCTGACAGCTTACTTAAGACCCCATTCCTGAACCTGTACTGAGTCTGTTCAATCATAACAAAGACTGGATTAAATACATTCATATCACATACCCTTTAAGCTGAAAGGCTGGTAGAAATAAAGTAAGAAACCAGGTCTGCAATACAACAACTCCACTTTTAGTAGGAACTCAGTATATGTAATATAGCTGCTCTGCCTCTAGAGAAGATGGGGGTCTGGCTACACTACTAGCCACTTGCTTTGACAGGCACAGCTTCCAATACAATACAAGTTACGGCTCCATGCTTTAAATGGCTCCACTGCTATTGTTCATCAGGATACAAGTTTAAGTACCAGTTGTCAGATACATTTCATCAAGGTAAGAACAGAACCCCACAAATTTTAAGTTCCTTGCCCATTACAGTAATACAACATATAGCCTCCTTGTAGATATGTGGCATGATCTCATAATCATAATAAAAATTATTGGAAACCAAGCTAACATTAATAATGGAGTGGAGTCAGCACAGGGCTGGAAGCCAGGTAGGTCAGACTTCTAATTAATGTTATGATGTTGGGTAAATTACTCTCTGTATCTTAGCTTCTCTGCCTGCAAACTGGGACCAACATCTATAAGGAAGAGGCGGTGGCAGGAGCAAAGTCTTACTACTGGTCAGCACCTCTGAAAAGCATAAAAGCACAAAGCATTATTACTGCTGCTGCTGAAGAGTAGTTTTACGTTCCTGCACGTTTTATTCAAAAATAACTCGTCAGACAAATTTATGGACTCTGCCTATCACTGAAATGCAGGGGTGGGTTAGATGTGTCATTTTAGGAGCACAAAGTAAAACTGCCTAAACTATTATATCCAGAAGCGTAAAATACCTGACTAAAAATGTAGCAGGAGGGAAGAGAGGCGGGAAGAAATGTAATTACAAAAATTAAACATGAAGAAGAATAAATAATCCTGCTCACATGAAAAATCCTGTATGATCATTAATGATGACATGTGGCTAGAAGAATTATTTTAGTTCTCAACTGACTAATAAGTAGCTCATACTGGTTTTAGATGGATTTTACAAGCAATAATAAAAAGACAGGCCACTTCCAGCGGTACCATGCTACACAAAACTATGCTGGGGAATTGGGTCAACAGCGATTCATTCAGGAGAAAGGACACTGTCTAGTGAACGACCAGATATCGGGGAAGGCCAGATACTTCACTTCGTTCCAACGTCCTAGTGTGTATTTCTAACCCCCATGAAGTAAAACATTGCTCTTATATTACATCATTTCATGTGAAAGTAAACAATGGAAGCAACTTAATGTTAAATCCAGAAAAGAGAATGAGAAGTTGGAAATGATTAACCCAGTGGCCAGATCTTTCCTTCTTTCCTGCTGGTACAGGAGAAATTAGGCAGAAATTAGAACACAGAGGGTGTGTCTACAAGGGATGTTTAGTGTGGAGTTGAATAATTCATTCTGCAGTAAAATGTCACCATCTTCACATGTGGTGCTATTAGGATGGAGTAAATTAACTAACTGCATCATAGGACAGGATTGCCAGACACAAGTAGCACTATTTACTCTGGCACAATGCAGACAGGGCTGGCTGGGGCACAAGGGTGCTTCAGTGCAGGGACCGCCTGCCAGCTAGCTCCACATTGAAGCACCTTTGTGCCCCAACCAGCCCCTCTGCAACAACTTGAGCTGGGTTGGAGCAGTCCTAGACTGACAGGCTGGCCCCCAGGGCCCCCTACCAGCCAAGGCTGCTCCCACCCAGCTCCCCAAATGTGTGATTGATACAGGATATTGATTTTGGAAGCCCACCTTTATTGTAAGTCAGCTATTCTCAACCAGAGTGCCACAGTAGCTCAGGGCCCGCATAACCCAGGGAATCAGCAGAAAAGGTTTCCAAAAACCTTTACTGAAAAGTATTAGGCAACAAGAAATAAGGGCCTCCCAACCAGCCTCTCTTCTCCTTCTACCCCACCACCATATATAGTAACTGTTTTTTTTAAATAAATATTTAACAGATTATTTTGGTGTTTTTTTAGCCTAAGATTCATCCTCAAAAACGGTTTTGAAAATAAATAGAAGCAGAGGCCCATTCTCCTGTTACACAATTTGGGTAGTGGTGAATCATCATTGTCATCTGCATAAGGCCAGTACTGACATGATTGTTTATCAAAGGTCATATTAAATCTGACTATGAACAGGAGCCACAGTGCATATGGGTTTTGCTGTCAACCCAACAAAACACAATCCCTATTTAGAGTGAGGCCTTGTCTACACAGGAAGTGAACCTAATTTGTGAATTTAAAAAAAAGATACAATTATGCCCATATTGATTTTAATTCTAATAGAGGAGGGGCACTTTTTCTAGTTTAGTTTATATTGCTGGTGAAAGTAAGCTAAACTGAAAAGAAATCACTTGCATACTTAATAAGTACATCCACACAGGGCACTATAATAGTAGAGTTCTACTACTTATTCAGGTAGAACTTTCCCCATGTAAAAAAAAAAAGACCTTAGTCCCAGCAATACAGCATTCACAGGGTACACAGGCATATTGTGCATTCATAGATAATCATGTTCGGTCACCTACTTTCTTCTCACAGTACTCTACTAACCGAACAGAAAGCAGGAGGTGTTTGCTAAAAGAAATCCAGACAAAGCAGTGCAGAGCACCTGCACTGAATCACAGGACCAAGGAATTTGTAGCTTAGTGCTGACTGAATCAGAATCTCTCTTGACTCTGCATCTGGAAATGTCAATATTTCAACTAGGCTCTAATATTTTTGCAACCTCTGTTGAAAAAAAGGTTTTTAAGATGGTTTTAAGAAAAGCTACAAATAGTACAAACTATTTGCTTTGGGGCATAACCTCATTACCACGTAGAGAGAGAGGTATTTCAGTACAGATTCAACTTTCATTAGTTCCCACCCAGTTTCACCTTGCTGAAATAGCCTGTTGAAGATTTCACATGACAGTAGATTTTCATACTGTTTCTCAGTGTAGTTATTTTATAGGTTCATACTTTCCCTGACTTCTGCTATTTTTAGTTTATCCTGCCTGAGGGACTACTGCAAACTATCAATAAGAAATAAAATAATGCCATGTGCCTTCACGACTCCAGGTTCACAAACTCTAATTTAATTATTCTGAATAAGTAGCAGTTTCAAAAAGTATGTTCTCAGATTAGCAACAGCCTCTTGCTCCAGCAGATGCTTTCCCCCCTCCCTTAACTTTCAATTACTTTACTATCTTTCAACCCAATATGTGCAGCAATGACATGTCACATGCTCACAACATGTACTTTTATCTGCAAATGACTGGTCTGTCCTCCTTGCAATATTCAAGTTCATACAACTGTGGTAATTTACATCCCTCCCACTCCAGATACAAAAAGATTAAACTAAAGAGTTTAGGTAGAAGGTTCACACTTTCATACTGGCAAGCACTAAAGAAATAAGTAGCAGTAAAATGCTAGGACCCACCCAATACTTTGGCCTCTAAACATTTTTCCATATACATTTCAAGGGCAATTAAACTGTTCAACTGGGGGTATATTAGTAATTTGACAAATGCCTGAAAATTGTGACCAATGGACAGAAAGCAAAAACTTTTTCTTTAATACTAGCAAATTGCCCGTCAAAAATGGCCCCAGGGGGGGGGTCCACCTGCCTCCCCCCTGCCATTTCGGACCAAGGCCAGGGCCGCGGCCAATTGCTCCTGCTGTTTCAGGCTGGGGCCAGGGCCGTTCCACCAGGTTCGCTCCTCTCCTCCCCTCCCCCTTGCCACTTCAGGCTGGGGCCGATTTCCTCCCCCGCCACTTTGAGCCAGGACTGTGACCGGGGCCTCACCCTCCAACAGGTCCATCGCCACTGTCACCTCAGGCCACGCAGGGCAAGGCCAGCTCTGCTCCCACAATCATGGCGGCACAGCCACCACCTCCTGTCCAAATGCCTGCACTCTGATTGGTTATTTCAGACAGCCAATCAGAGTGCAAATAAAGCATTATAGACAGACAGACAAACTAAGGCTTTTATAATATTAGAATGCTGCTAGAACCTGGGGGTACTACATGTCTCAGCATGCCACACCATCTTGATCCAAGTGGTCTGGCTACACACTAATACCTGTAATCTGTCTCAGTGTGGGTGACCATAGGCAGGACTGCTGCACTTGCTTAGGGCAGCATAAAGACTTGTTTATAACTGAGGCAAGTATCAAGTAAATAGAAAGTAAGTGGAAAAGCCTGGTGGATTCTGGACCTCTGAGGACCCACCAGGCAACCCCTGCACGCAGGGGGCCCAGGTGCCACTGCCCCACCTAAGGACTGGATGCGTTTAAGTTGGCAGGCCCAGATGAGCTCCATCCGAGGGTACTGAAGGCACTGGCTGATGTCACTGCACAGCCACTGGCAAGGATATCTGAGCACTTGTGGCGCACGGGCCAGGTCCCGGAGGACTGAAAAAGGGCCGATGCGGTCCCTATGTTTAAGAAGGGGAGGAAGGAGGATCCAATCAACTACAGGCCAGTCAGTCTCACCTCCATACTTGGTCTTTGAAAAGATTATTAAGGCTCATATATGTGAGAGCCCAGCAGGAAAATTTATGCTGAGGGGAAACCAGCACAGGTTCGTAACAGGTAGATCATGCCTGACTAATCTAGTCTCTTTTTATGACCAGGTTACAAAACACCTGGATGCAGGAGTAGACGT